GATCAAATTGATTTTCAAACATAAATCTTAATAATCAGCATAGTTTATCAGTTAAATTTTATACAGTTATATTAACATAACCAGATGAAATCTTTTATTTATAAAAAATTAGTAGAATTAATAGAATTACTAATTTAGTTTATACTAATTTACTAGTTTATTCTTTTTAATATAAGTGGATTAAGATATTAAATTCTAACTTACCTAATAATTTATTGATCGGAGTTTAAAGTTGAAAGCATTAACGCTAAAAGCTTATTTTTGTATATATATATATATATATTCATTTAATTGATCTATATTTAGGTAAAGAATATTTTATTTTCCAGTTATTTTGCAAATGTTAATAAGAGACATATTTTTTTTTTTATATGACCGCCAATCGAATGAATCGAAGCAAAAATTTTCATAAACCAGTATTCTGAAATTTTTTATTAATCTTTTGAGAAATTTAATTAGTTTTAGATCTCCGCCCGTATTGCTTGCTGAATTTGTTGGTGATAATCAGAAAGTGATTGTTCGAGTTCGAAATAATAATATATCTCTGAAAAAAACCAACGCTACTCAGGTTTTGTTTTTAAAGGGCATTATTATTTCTCAAATACAAGCGAATTTTGTTCAATAAAATTAATTTTTTAGGATATCACCGTTAACCTAGGTCGACTTCGTTTTTATACTTGTGCTTCTCAGATACGCATTGTGTGCTCCATTTTAAAAAATATATTATCAGGTAGTTTCTTCGTTCATTTTTGACCTCTTTAATGAAGAACTGTGATTTGTAAAACTGCTCATTCTTATTCAAAATATTATTATAATTATTATTTGTGTCGTTAAATCCAATTATATATTAATGAAATTTTGTTAGGTCGTGGTAAAATTTCCTCCGAATTTGGAAAACCTATGGATAACGAGCATTTGAATCTTATCAATGCTCAATTACAAGAAAGAATTAAGAATAATTTGAATCCGCAAACGGAATTTGAAATAGGTTCTATTTTCTGTATAGTTCTATATAGTTTTACAATTTTTTCTATTTTTTTCTTGTTTTTTTCTTTCTTTATGATTTTTTTCAGGAAACTGGTGCGGGCCTCAAATATTTTATGAAACCAGGAGATTTTCAAAAAACAGCTTAGGTTTTGATGCAAATTATTTCTTTTATTTGTTAAATTTGTAAATAAATATAGAATTTAATTTGATAAGATGGCAGATTTTTAAAGAAATGAAATATATGAAGAAGTGAAAAAAATAATTTTATAGTTTTTTAGATGAAAGTAAAAACAGTGGTTCGCCAGCATCGATAACAATTAACGTAGAAAGTATTTATGCAGTAATAACTCATGAAGATATGTTTAAACAGAATCATACATTAAAGTTAGTAAAAAATATTTTCTTGGCAAAATTTTTTTTTCTTTAAAAAATTTTTTTCTGAAAATATACAAAAAAAGGCAATAAATTCAAATTATTTCTTAATTTTGAAGCGATGTAATGGATGCTTTGAACGTGAAAGCAAACCAGTTTTTCGCAAAAATTGAATCTGTTATATTCAATGGAACGCGTGAGGAGTTTGTTTCAGTTTCAAGAAATTTGCAAGCAGTTTGTCCTGAAGACAATTTAAGGTTGTATTATAAACAATCAGTCATAGATGTCTTCTATATTATTTTCTTGCATTTTTTTATATTTTAAATTTTGATTCATTTTCAAAAAGTTTTCTCTTTTTAGTTTTTTGGCAACCGATATAAAACTTGGCTTTACTCTTGGCGAGGTGAGATGCTCAAATGTACCATATTTAAAGCTTTCCATTGCTAGTTTATTAGCTGCTGAAGTGTTGACTGCAGGTACAGTTGTGGTAAGAATTTTGATTTTTCTTATTTTTATTATATATTAAATTATATATATATAGAACAGAATGGCTCGGGAGTTTTTGCTGAATTCGCAGCGACGATGCTGTTCTATAAATTTTTTTGGACAAGTTTATTCCTGCAGGAAATTTTTCAGCTGTAATATCGCCAAGGAATTTCTTAGCATATTTGTCTAGTGCCAATAACATACTAGCTAAGTGAATATAACCAGTAATGGTGACGGATGTTAAAACTTAAATATATATTTTATATATGTATATATAGTATTCAACGTAGTATTATTGGGTTTTTCAGGGTGTTGAAAATATTGTCGTTGTGGATTTAATTCATTTTACTGAAAACAATGAAAAAGCCGAATCACCTTGTATAAATTTGACTGCATTTTATAATGCATCTCAAGAGGTATTTTTCTTAGGAATTTTTTTCAATTTTTTAATGAATTTTATAAAGTAAAATTTATTAAAATGGATTTTTTAAAGAAATTCCGAATGAATTTCGATTTACACCCGTGCAAATGTGAAATTGATATTTCAATGTTGGATCGCATATCATCACTTATTTTCACTGAACCGATTTTCAAAGAGTTTCATAATTCTGATCCAATTGGTTCTTCTCGAAAAATTTCAGGGTAAGTCATCCATCTTATTCACTGAGAAATTATGGAATTGCAACATAAAATTGTTTTTCACGCAGTTAATTTTTACTTTCAACTATTTTTTCCAATTTTGAGGTTATTGTTGAAATTCTTAATAAAGAATCTTCTAATTTTAAATTCACATTGTCGTTTGATTCCTTTATTTGGTTCTTACGAGATGTGAAATCTTTAGAATCTTTTCCTTTCATCATGAAATTTCTATGATAAAAATCACAGAAAGAGGGAGAAAAAGAAGTATAAATGCTTACCAGCTAGCACTGGGAGTTTTTTTTTAGCAACTGGTTTATTCCTATTAAGAGACTAGAATTATGTCGATGTTGTTCGCTTGCTTTTATCGGAAGCAAAATAGAACTCAGTTGCTGCTTTTTTCTTCAGTAATGATTTAATTATAATTAATTTAAAGATTTATAGATTTAATAGATATATAGTCATTTCCTGCTCCAAATAAGGTACTTACCATTATCGATTATTTATGTCAGTTCAGTTTGTCAGTAATCATAATTTTTAGGGATTTATTATGCGATCACGTCTTTCATTCATCCGACGGATCATCTATTGAGGGCAGTGTTGTAATGAATTGCCCTAAATTGACCCTTTTTATTAGGTTCGTTTCATTCATTGGAAATTTAGAGGTGAAATTTTAAAATGACCAGTTTAATATGGCGATGTTTCAGCTAATTTATTTATAAATAAAGTTATAGAAGAAGTTTCGAATTTGAATTTTTCATTTGCGATTGGTTATAGGGTACCAGTAGTGGATCTTAGAAAAACTGATGTGGAACCTGGTCGATCATATCACTGGCTTCGTAATCTTCGTGCTGAAGCTTTTCAAATAACTTTCATGGATTCAAAAATTTCCTTACCATCGTTTAAACCATTTGAAACCCATCAACATGTAAAAATTAAGCTTATAGTGGCATCAGTTTCAGGTTAGAAACATTTAAGTAAAACCATTGTGAAAGCCATTTTAAAATTTGCCATTTGCCAAAAAAAGCCATTTCTTAGTTTTATAGCCATCTATTTAAGTAATTATTAACATTTGGTAACATTTGGTAAATTATTATTTATGAGTCGTAATTTAAAATATATTTTTTTTCCAGGTCGTATAGTAAAATATAATGGTACTTCAAGAATAGATGAGGATATATTTTTGTTCGCGAATTCATCAGATTCGCCAATCAGGTTTTTGTTTGATAACATTAACTGTTTTATTCCTCTTATATCCATTATAAATTGTAAAAATAATTATATCCCATTTTTTTTTTAAGTGCTGAAATAAATTATGATTCGAGAAATTCTGTTCTAAAAACGGCGAGATTTGAATCTCACAAGTCGAGTTATGAAGATGGTGTGCCTCTTATTCAGTTGGATATTATTGATGGGCCCTTTTCGAAATCGTTACATGTATTCGAGGGTGAAATAGTATGTCGTTTTTAAACTATATATATATGAAATATTAAATATTCTATAAATAAGTTATTCCAGTAGAAATATTTTCCAATATTCGTTTTCTTTTTTTATAAATGATATTTTTTATAAACTGGTATTTTATAAATTTTTATTTAGATAAGATCGGTTGGAAGTCGTAAAGAATTGAACGATTTTGGTCTCGAATGCATTGAAAATAATAAATTTAATATCGAAATAGTTATACCAGTTTTACATCTTTCTTTACATGATCGCGAATTTTATGAAGTTCTATATAATAGGTGAATTCGATTTCCATAAATTTGAGTATTTTTCTTTATTTTGTGTGCAATTAGAAGTAGTTGAATGAAGCTGAATGATTCATTTAGGCTTATCAATGGATTGATTTTGTGGAGACCACAATCACCGTTATTCCGAAAATTTTCTCAGCCTAGCACGGATAGAACTAGTCCAATTTTTTATATGTGTCGAGGAGACGATAATCATGAAGGTGATTTGAAATTTTACTACCAAATTTAACAAATTTAAGTATATTTTAGAAATACTCTGAAAACTTTTTTATACAGTTATATATATAGTTATAAAGTTTTATACACTTATAAAGTTTTTTATATAGTTCCATTTTTTTCAGAAAGAAAAAAAGAAATTAAGAACAAAGGGATTCACACCCATTTTTTTTTGATTGCTGTTCCTTTGTTTCTTTTATAAACATTCTTTTGTTTCTCTTTTTTCAGATACTGATGAAATCGATGAAAATAGTAGACATTTTAGCTTTAGTTCACCAAACGAAGTTCCTCATGCATTATGCATATCTATTGATGTGGATGAATTAAAGATACTTTTGGACGCTCAGTTAGGCCAGGTTCGACTCATAATTTTCAACTTATTTTATTTTATTTTATTTTATTAATGCTAATTAATACTACATGGTTAATAATAATTAAAATTTTATAATTTTAAATTTTAATTTTATAATTTTATTTATTTATTTAAAATTAAATGGATTTATGCACAAATTATTTTGCTTTTACCAGCATTATTCTCGTTTTTTTTTTTAGAATAAAAGCAGTAATGAAATGAGTCGTATAAGCTTGGAGTTATCTGAAGCTAAACTTTGTTTCGTCAATGAATTTCGTGGAAAGCCTGAAGAATCCTACTTTTATCTTCGGTCGAATACAATTAAATCATACCATAGAAGTTGGTTTTTTTTCAATAAATAAAGAAAATTATTTTGGTTACTGGCAATTGCTTTTAAAGATGTCTCTTAAGCCCAAGATATACTATGTCTCTTAAGATATACTATTTTTTCAACACTTTAGATGTTGCGCTAAATGACGATGCTCATGAGGATCTTCAAATTGGTAAAAAAACATTTTCTGTTATGGGTGATGAAGCACTTTATATGTCTCCAGCGTCGAAAAATGATCTTTTTGCTACATCATTAGTCGGTGATGATAATTTTGCAGTTGGAATGAGGATACTGTCGAAAGCAAATGAAAATATTCGAGTAGAGATGCTTTTTTGTTCTACTTTTTATAATTGTAAAACAATTATAAGAGTACCACAAAAAAAAAATATTTTTAAGAGCGCATTGAGAATATAAGTAATTTCATGAATGTTATTACTTTCCATTCGAAATTCGAAATAGATCGAGCAAAAACAATTTTTGTGGATATTCCAATAATCAATATTTTTAATAAAGAAATTTTGGGATATTATATTAAGTTTACAGACTGGTTTACGTGCCCTCAATCATTTGCCTGTGGTAAAATTCAAATTTAAGCGATGTTATCATAAAATTTTTTTATATTTTTTAAAATTTCATAGGATATATTGGTGGCTGTTGGAATTAGAAATACGGCATTTAGACTTGAGTTGCTGAAAGAAACAAATGATGTATGGATTACACAACTGATAAATTTCTTCAATGTTAATGCATGTGATATTGCTGGATACGAAAGGCCACAAATAATTGTTGATCTTCATTTAAACCTTGCGTCAAGCGTATTTGTTTACGAACATATAGGAAATAACGAGGATTCTACTCCTTCATTTAGGTTATTTTTAATCCTATTATATTGTTGTATTTTAATATTATTGATTTTTTAAACATTTTTATTTTTTAAATATTATATTTTTCAATAATTTGTTGAATTTATAGGCTTACAATCAAATCCTGTGATATTAATAGTTCGAAAATGCAGCAGCTTGATATGTATAGATTTATTTCATATATCGAAGACGCAGCACTATTTATGGCGAAGAAGCCGAAGAAATCCACAAAATATCAGTTTGTTAAAATGCTTGGAATGGAAACATTTTCATTAGAAGTTAGTCTATTATTATCATTTTTAAAGATAATTGAAGCATTTTTTAAGTTTTGATAAAATCACTTCGGTTTATCAAAGTGTTCGATTTATAATAAAAGTAAATAGTAAGTCGTGAAAAAATCGTGTAAGTGAATAGTTAGCGATTTCTCGTTAAGATAAATCTCCTGGCTATTAATTAGAAACTTATCAGTGAATATCGCTTGATGATAGAAATATAGATGAGTCGCTAGTATCATCTAGATTTTTTGATGAGTTTTCTCCTGCAGAAGCAGGTGACAAAACCTCTAATGTTCAATGTGAATTGTACCACTCGACCATATTTGTTTTGGTTGCATTATACAATATTTTATATAATATATATATATATATATATAGTGTCATGTTTGTTAATTTTGCCATATAAATGGCGTTATGAGAATTTGCTTAGTTTTTCAGATGAAAGTATCGAGCAAATTTGATTTCATAAATCATAGCGGTCAAGATGGTAGTCCACTCATCGATGTAAAATGTAAAAATAATTTATTAGAGGTGAGGATTTTTATGAGTAAAATTTCCCATTTCTTCATTTTTCGTGAATTTAAAGATTTTCATTCGTCTTTTACAAAATTTTTTGTTGTTTATTTAAGTTAAATTATTAAGATTAAAATATTATCAAAATAATTTAATTAATTGATTTTAATTGTTATGAACAGTAGCGATTTCAGTTATGGGCATGTAGTGATTCTTTGAACACTCTTATTGATGTAATAGCCGATATAGTAAAACCAAAGCAAGGAGATGAGGAAAAATCGGATATATCTAAACAGTCCGTATCTATTCCACAAACATCTATAATTAATAAACAGATATCAGATCAACAGTCACAATCTGTCCATGCTCAACTAACTCGTCTTCAAGTATAATTATTTCTTTAATTTTTAATATGATAGTAAATTTACTCTATTGAGACTTTTAGGAGATGGTCGAGTCCACAGTTATAAATTCATCTATATATCTATCACAACGAATTGCTCAAAGAAATGTTACTGGTCATAAAAATATTTCTGCGGAAGAACCTTCAAATTCTAAATCTATCTTGGACAATGTTTCACATGGTTTCCTTTTTTCTATGATTCCATTAATAGAATATTTCTTTGCTGGTAAAAATACTTCTTTTTATGGGCTGCCAGAACCATTTTCAAGCTTCAGTTTGTCTCATACCATTTCCTCAGAATAGCCAATTTCCATGAGGGATTTGTTTGATGTGAGCTTTGTGGAAGATTGAAATACTTAAGAGATTTAAAGAAAGTATTATTAAAGAATTAAAGAATTTTGGAGAATTCGCAGATAAACATTTGACGATGTTTTGCGGAAACAAAGTTTTATTATGACAGTATAAAGGAATTGCCAAAAAATAATCTTGCTATAAAAAAAGTTGATGGTAGGCGAGGTTTTCACATTTCAAATTTATTTACCAGTGGCTTATTTGGTGCCTAGCGAAATTTTTTTTAGGTTGTGAATTATATATTTCCTCATATTTTATATATAATTTTATTTGCTAAATTTAGACTCTAGCAATGTTGAATGTTTGGATGAAGCAAAAATTGTAAAAAGTGAAGAAACTGGTGAAGATTTTGTTCTCATTGATGAGAATTATTCTGTTGCGAAAACAGTAAATATTAATTTTTTTATTTATTTTCTATTTATTATTAAAGTATTTATTTCCGAATCCCCGAATTTCCCTTGCAAATTGTAAATCTGATTTTTTTTTACCAAACAAAAGTTTTAAAATTGCCCTATTGATTTCAATAAATTATAATATAAACTTACGAGAATAATAATTTATAAACGAAAAGAATATAAGAAAATATTCTGTGGGATAAAAAATAAAGTAAAGTATTCAAAATTTAATATAAACCAAATGACGAATCGAACTTTTTGTCACATTTAGTTATCTATTCATGTGGGTTGATTTCTGAAATTTATGAAAGAGTGATAAATGATAATAATTTTATTTGGTGCGAATTGATAAATAGAGATATATTAAATTAATAAAAGAAAAAACTGTTATAAAAAAACTGTTATTTTCTTTTTGCCTCTCATTTTTCTAATTGATCTAATGTGATGTATTTGTGGAATTTGAAATACTTTTGAAAAATACTTAAAATTTAGTATTTAAAAGTATAGAAATGAAATGGAAAAATTTTTTATTTAAGAAATTTCTAAAAAAAAGATTAGTACGAATAAGTTAATAATTTTGCAAAAAAAAAATTATTTATTTATAAAATTATTTGAAATCTTAAAAAATATAAAAATAAAATTTCTAAAAAAATGTAAAATTCGATAAAATTTTAATGAAATTTTTCAAATATTTATTTTCAAAATTTTTTAAATTTTTTCAAAATATTCAAAAAAAATTTTTATTTATTTATTTATTTAAAACTATTAGAAAAAAATTTTTTTTTTAAGAGTCAAAATCCGGAATTCGTTAGCTATTTGGACGATATATCTCAACATTGGGATGAAGTGAATATCGCTGATAATAATTATTTTGCGACAATTTTTTCAAATCATAAATTGGATTCTTCTTTGAATTTAAAGGAATCACCTCTCATAAATTATGATTTCTCCGATTTTTCAGTTTTACTTCACTTTTATGGAGGATACGATTTTGGTTAGTTTTTAATAGCATACGTTTATATTTTAATATTTTTTAGTAATAATTCCTAGCAATGTTAGTAATATGAAATGAAAATCGATAATGAGTACCACTATAAGATTAAATTATAGTTCATTAAAAGGGATTGCAGATTATCCTGGCAAAATAATTCCAAAAACATATAGCGTAGTGGATAATTTCCCAGCGAAAGCACTGATTTACTCCTCGAGTCCAAGAGATTACTGTGGAATTTATCGAGATCTATCCGTTCATGTTGAATTTTCCTTATCAAAGGTTTAGTCTTATTTTTCATAAAGTATTAAAGCATAAAACGGTAGAAAAATGCGTGTCAATTCAAATAACATTATAAAATAAAATAACACATTTGCATCTCTTTTGCCAGCATTGTTTTTTTTATTATATTTAATATTGTTAATATTAATATTTATTATATTTATTATTTATATTGTTAATTATTTTTGCTTCTATATTTTTATTTATAGATAAGATTTATTTATCAACTTTTTGGAGCAGGTGCACCAATTTTATCAATGAATACAATAACAATTCACAATATTGAAATTCGTGATTTGCTTGCAGCATCAGATTTTAAAATGATGCTACATATGGTGCTTTCATTTGTTAAATTTGTTGATAAAAAGTTATTTGGTTTTTTATTTTTAAATTAAAAATTATAAATTATAAAATTATTCCTTTTTTCATATTTTTTATTTTTTCTTATATATTATTTTTCTTTCTTTTTTGGTTTTTATGGTTTTAGTGCGAATCAGCAAAATTGAGGCGCATGAATGCACCGATGTTCGCTTTACGAATATTGGAAAATAATGATAAAGAAGGAAAATTGGCAATATCAATGCTTCCTATGCGTTTAAATGTTGATCAAGATACTCTGGAATTTCTACAAGATTTTTTTACGGATTTATCAGCGAGTTCCTCTGTTTCAAGTATAATTTATTAATATAAACGTAAATTTTTGAAAAATTTCATAAAGCTGTTTGTATTTTATGCGACACTTTTCCATGATGTTTAAGCGACCTCAGTTGGCAGTGTCGATCTGGGGAATCCAGTTGATGAAAACTTGTCAATAATTAATGTGGATCGATCCAGTCCTAACGCAACTGTTTGTTTTGATGAAGATGCATGCCATACGTTGCCAGAAGATCCTTCAGATTATGGTGATTGTTTGTTCGTCGTTGAATATTCACTGTCATGAGAAATACCACTTTTTTGTCCATTGCATGCAACTTTAAATAAGTTATTATTGCTGCATTGCTGCATTCTGTGTCCATAAATTAACTAATCTAATGTCGTCTATCTAATATCGCCTAAAAATTTATTCCATTATTCCAATAGTTTGTTACATTTTATTTATTTTTAGGGAAATTTTAAGTTAATTCTGTTATCTGAAAGAGTGAGATTATTCTAAGAAATGAAGAATCCTTATTTTAAATGGTTTCATATTTTTTGATTCTCCTATTGTTTCAGCCCTTCTGAATAAAAATAACGGAACTTTTCCAGCCGAAAGTGACCCATCTTCTAATCTTAACTCTTTAGGTATTTTTTACTGTTCCGTTATCATAGTTGTCTTTACTTTTGGTATTATTTGTTGTTTTTTGTAATTTATTATTTGTTACTGTTGCGAAATTCAGTTATACTTCTCATATTTTTCAATTATTTCTCATTAATCATTATTTTGTTATAGATGCCGATCTTCTTGACGATGCAAAAGATGTACCGTCGCCTGAGCAAATTAGATTTGGACGTCAATATTCCACTACCGCTCGATATTACAATCATAAAATTGATCCACTATGTGTAAATATACAGATATATTCATTAGTTTTTTGCAATAATTCTATAATTTATGCGTTGAAAATTTTATCGAATAAATTTTTCTAAAATTTTTTTATTGTTTGTTTTTATTTAGTTTATTTATCATAATTTATAATTTATACTTTTATATTGTTTTACACTTTTCAGTTTGCTTAAAGTGGAAAATTTTAGGATATATCAACGAATAATGTGGTATTCAGCAATACATTACAATCTAAGAGCGAAAATTATGAAATGGTACATTCAAGTGATGGCGGTGAAATCACGGAACAAATAAATACTTCAGAGGGCACTGTTTATAGGTTAATTTATTTTTCTTCTTTTTTGATCTTTTTCTTTTCATTTAGATTATTTATTATCAGTATTTTTTCTTATATGGACTGAATTGTTTTTAGAGAATTTACTTTTTCTCCTTCGGTGCCGTTAAGGTTGGATTATCAAGGAAAGCGAGTTAAATCCGACCAAGGCGTTTTAATGGGCCTACTAATTGGTTTAACGAGTTTGAAATGTTCTGAGCTTACTTTGGTCGATTTCAAAAATACTGAGGGATTGAATGGTATTCCCAACTGTATTCAGGTAATCTATAGTTCTTTTTAAAGAATTTTTTCATGAAATTTTTTATTTTTGTATATTTTTTCTTGATGTGATTCTTTTGAAATAGATGATGAATCTTTTAGTTTGCTGTTAATCACTGGATTAAAGATATTCAAGAAAATCAAATTCCAAATGTTATCGGTGGTTTTGGCCCTATCAGATCATTAGTGCAATTAGGTAAATTTTTTTTTTATCCACTGTTTATTGTCTAGACACTACATCATAGAAAATTTATTTGATTAAAAAATTATTGTACTTATTATAATTATTATAGTTTTTCATTATTTATAGTTTTTTTTTACTATATTTAAATGTTTTATTCGTTCATTTATTTCATTATCAAAAATCTTAAGGAAAAGGAATAAAGGATTTGCTTTTTTTGCCGATGAATGAATATAGAAGAACAGATGGGCATTTAATGACCGGATTGCGAAGAGGTGCGGAGAGTTTTGGTTCATCTACCATTACTGCTTCGGTTGAAATTGCTCAATGTTTTACCGGTTTAGTACAAGTAAGATAATTTTTTATCGATACTTTTTTGGTTTTTAGTGGATTTAATAAGTAAAAATAATAAAAAAACATAAAAAAACATAAAAACAACTATAATAAAAATAAACTTAAGAAATTTGAGAGTAAATGCTTCTTTTACTTGTTTTGTTTTTACTTTAAGGGAGCCGCGGAAATCGCATTTGATGTTATAACTCCTGATGCATCCGTTCGACGGAAAAGATTGGATAAGAGAAAAGTTTCCGATTCTAATTTACCACCAAACGATATTCGAGATGGTTTGAATAGAGCTTATGCAACAGTTAAACAAGTTAGTTTACGCATGCTATCTTTTTAATTTTCTTCTTTCATAAAGCTTCTATTTTAGCCTAAATTTTTGATCTTATTAAATATCTTTTTTAATATGTTAATACGATTTAGGGCATAGCTGAAACGGCAGAAGGCTTACATAAGGCTGCATATGAAGATCGAGCTGAAGGTCATTGGCCATTACGTGGTTTGCTTAGACAAGCCACACCAACGTTCCTTCGTCCAATAGTCATCGCTAGTAAGGCGACTAATGAACTTTTAGGTGGTATTAAAAGTCAGTGGAAACCTGAAGATTACGCGTAAGTTTTTGCACAAAATTTTAGGTTGATAAGATTTGTAAAATTTTGTTTTTTTTTCCGTTTCATATCTATTAATGAATTAATCTTAGTTTTATTTAATTTTTTTAATTTTTTAATTATTTTCGTTTCATTTAATTTAGCATTTAATTTTCCTAATTTTTCTATCCTTTATTGCTTTATTAAAAAAAAAAAAAAAATATTGCAGAGAAGAAATACAAAAGTGGAAAGGAAATGATTATTAAAAAATTTTATTGATCTAATTTAATTTTGACCTGGCGAGCTTTTTTTTCTGATCTTTTAATGTTTAATATTTTATGTTAAATTGAAGAAGCTCAGTTTTATTAAAAGTCTTTCATATTTGCAACAACTAAATGCTGAATTAATTAATTCTTTTAATTAATTACGAGCCTTAAATCTTATTGTAAATATTAGTATTATATTTTCTCTTAAATATAGTAAAACCAAAAGTTTTAAGCGTTAACTTTGTATATTTGCATTTTTGAGTTTCTTAATTTTTCCACATCATTGTAAATTCGTTATTAGCAAAAAAAAAAAAGAATTTGCATTACTTTGAACTTTGAATTTTATTTGCATTTATCTTCATTTTTTGCTGCTTATAAAACGAATAAAACAAAATTTATTTCAACAACAATATTAAAAATTATTATTTTAACGTAAAATATTTAAAATATTTGAGATTAAACAATATTAAAAATTATTACTTTAACGTAAAATTAATAAAAAAAAAAACGAACAGACAAAAAAATCTTTTGTAAAAGAAAAATGAACAATATCGGCATTAAAAACAGTACTAAAAAACAGTACTAAAAAAATAAGTACCAAGAACAATGAATGAATGAAAATGAAAAACCCCTTTCATATTGGGACTCCGAATTGGAGTTCCTTATTTTTGCAGATAGGTTGGATACGCGCAAACATCAAGAAGTGAATCAAATACGGTACCATGCGGACATTGTAATTTCTCAAGTTGACCGGAAATGCAACGATAATAAACGCTTTGATCATTTTCGTCCGGAATAGTTTCATAGATATCGTTTGTGCATGCTATTTGTTCTGAATATTAAAAATTTAAGGAAGAGGAGTAATAAAAAAAAAAAAGCATAAATAATGTTTGTACTAATAAAAATTGATAGTTCCAAACCAGTATTGTCGATCTGTTTACAGTCGGGAACGTTAGCTTTATAATTGCATTTTTGAATCGTTTCATCAAACACCAAGCCTTGCGAACATGGAGTAAATTCAAACGCTTCACCGCCAAAACACTAAATTATTTTTCAAAATCAGAGGATTTCAGCGGAAAATATTTTTAAGGTTTCATTGTTTAGTAGCTGAAAGCAACCAGTATAGATTTGATATGGGTTTGTCAATAGAAAACAAACACGATTAAAACCATATTGAGAAGTGAGGAGCCTACGCTTTTTGTCCTCCGGTGACTAAATATTTAATGAGTTTTAATCGCATAAATTATCATCTTTATTTATCACTAATTTTCAATTGTTCACTATCAATACGCGGTGATTATCGTTTAATTATCCAAAATTGTGAATGAATATATAAAAATTTTTTATAAATTTATTATTTATTTATACTTTAATAATTTGTGAGCAATTTCGTGGATGCCGATAGAATCCATCTTTATCATTACAAAATGAAATTCCTTTCATATCTGAGATGGTTGAGGTAGGAAATTCGTTGTTTCGTTCATGCAAATTATCACATTTATCATTTTTCGTTCGATCAATGCACACGCCAAAATCACTTGAAAACGCTTCTGATTCGAGCTTGCAACGTGTTTTTATCGCTTTTCCCTGCGGTTAAATGCATTAATAATTTTTAATTTTATGATATTTTATGACTATTAAAGAATTTCATTTATTTTATCAAAATTATCAAAAATTTATCAAAATTTATTATTTTATGAATTTTATCAAAAATTTTAGATGATTAAAGACTAACATCTTTGCAAACTAAATAATACTGATCGCAGCGTCCCAATGCTTTCGTCGCGCCATCATTAAGATTTTGGCAAGAAAAATATTGCTGCTGTTGAGCATTAATATTTGTTTTCAAATTTGTTAATGCGATAGTGGTACCACACTGGTTCGCTGGAACACATTTGCCAAGCTTTTCATCAAATAAATTTCCTCCAATACAATAAAACTGAAAAAAAAAAATACGGTAAAATAAAGTGGTAAAAATCATTTCACCAACTCCTGGACTCCTTTACTTATTGCCATAGTTAATAATAATTAATAACTAATAATAATAATAAATAATAAAATTAATAGTGATAACAACTGATAATAATAGCAAATAATTAATAATGGTAATGATAATGATAATGATGATAATGACAATAATAATAATACAAAATAATAAATAATAATAATGATAAATCTTAGGAGGAAAATGAATATTCTAAAAATTCTTAAATTATATATCATTTGAAAAAAATTTGATACTTTGAAGCCTTTCGTTTGCGACACGCAAACAATGAAATCCAAATTGCAATGGCCAAGTGCAACCGTCGTCGATCTCGAGAATTTGCAATGAATATTTGCCGAATATAATTTTAATATTTTTCCGTGATAATCTTTAATTGTATAAATTGTATAAATTTAAAAATTATATTAAAAATTTTAAAAATTATAAAATTATTTTTAAAAGATTTTTTGAAAGATTTCATTTTTTATTCAAAAAATTTTAAAATTTTTTAAAAAAATTAAAAATTTTTTTTATTTTATTAAAATTAGTTTTATTAAAATTTATTTTATTTTTTATTTTATTAAAATTTTATAAAATAAATCCCTCTAAATAAATGAATTAGCAAATGAAATGAAAATTTTGAAAATTTGAAAATTCAAATAAAAATTTTTTTTTCAAATTTTTTTTTTAGGAAATATAAACAACTTTGTATAATTTTATTCGGAAAACCATATCCGAAATCACAATTGGTACTATTTTCCATGGGAATACATTTCTTGCTTGCAGCGTCAAATACATGCCGAGATATGCAATGGAATATATGTTGAATGTTATCAATTATGATTGAAAATTCAATCGAACATTTTTCAGCAATTATTCCATTTGAATTTATGGAATTTCGTATGCCTATAAATTCATTTCATTCCTTACTTGTGTTACACTAATCAGTTATCAGCTATTTTATCAAATATATTACGATGCTTAAAAAAGCTAATTGTCACCGTAATCAATTTTGAAATATTATGATACTAAAAAAAAAAGGAACATGAACTATATACGAATAGTTAAGAATTAGGCATAATAGGCACATTATGCCAAAATCGATTACTTTCCATATGTGTGGAACCAAACTGGTGTGCTATTTTTAAAAAATTTATACTACCATATTATAATATTTAGAAAAGTTATTTCGTATATACTTGTAATATATTTGCCATAGTCGATAGCTGTCGTAATGTTTGCATCATTAAAATATGCCACTAGTTTTCTCTCCTTACACATTGGTACTTCTTCTTTAGGTTCACAATTATATGTTTCATCATTAAAGATGAACGATTCCGAGCAAGCGAAATTATGCAATATTCCATCTAAATATTCAATAAATTTATATATTTATTTAAAATGATTATTATTTATAGATTATTATTAATGATTATTTATTTATTTATTATTTATAGAAAAGAATTTTTAAAATCTATTTGAAAAAAAAAACTATAAAAATTAAAATAAAAAATAAATTAGGCAAAAAGAAATATTGGAAAGAAATTCACACCGTAACAAACTGCGAAAAATCGAGAACAATTAGCAAAATATATTCCACTAGCATTACATATGAAATTATTAATTATTTCTCCAGTTTCGATCACCATCGTTGTTGTCGAATCTAAAAATTTCTGAAAATTAATTTTTTCTCCCTCTTTTATTATCGCCTATTATATTATGAAACATGGAGATCAATGAGAGGATTAGTGGTGGCTAAGTCATCCACCTTAGAAACTATTACTATTACTATATTAAGACTTATGACGAGTGATGTTAAAAACCAACTGGTCCGATCAACATTTCCACCAATTCGATACAGCCAGTCTTATATCGTAATACAAATTGCGATGAAAAAAACGAGTGGCTGTATCGAGTTATAGTATTGGATCGACTGGTCTTACTTTAGCGGCTAATGCAACCAGTCAGCCTAGTAGCATTGGTACTAGCTGCTAGAGGAATCAAATTCACTTAAAAATGGCGTTTTATCTAAAAAAAAAGATTCTATACATATATATATATATATATACAGTAAAACCGGTACCATAATAATCACCAATTTTATTCATTTTTGCAAGCCCATTACTATTCGATTGATTACAAGAAATGACGTGAGCAGAATCACATTTCGCCGATTCCTTTAAGAATATTTCATTTATATTTTAAATAGCCAAATAAAAATATAGCCAAATTAAAATAATAAATAAAAATATAGCCAAATTAAAATAATAAATAAAAAATATAGCCAAATGAAAATAATAAATAAAAAATAAATAAAAATATAGCCAAATGAAAATAATAAATAAAAATATAGCCAAATGAAAATATGGCCAAATTAAAAAATTGGCCAAAAATAAAATTTCTATAAATTACCTCATTAAAAATATATCCTTTTGGACATCGAAAAATATATTTTTTATTATTTATACATTTGAGAAAAAATCGCGTACAATTATTAAATGATATTAGACGATTATGATTAGTTTTTGTACAATTCGTATTTGCGATATATGCGAAAATCTCTTCCATTTCAATTTCTATAATTGAAAAAAAAAATTTTTATTTTATTTAAAATAATAATATTAAATAATAATAAGTAGTATAAAAAATAATGAATAATAATTATTTTTTAAATTTTCATATTTTTCATAATCGTACTTTTCTCAAAATATTTATTATCGCTTATCATTTGTTGGTGTGAATGATAATAATTCGATTTGCAACTTTCAATATTTTCCTTAAAATCACACGAATTCGTTTTTGTATTAAAATAAAGTCCACAACTACACGAAATTATTTGTGCTCGTCGATTTGATTCGCATACGATAAAACGATTTGAGCACAACGATAGCGAATAAAAACCATTTGGAAGTGTTTCACATGGAAATGCTAAAAATTTATTAAAATTTTTTAAGTATATAAAATTAATTTATTTTTATTAAAAATAAATGAAGTAAAGTTAAATTAATTTTAAAGTTAAATTAATTAATTAATTTATAAAGTGGTATTTGCGCCGCCTTCGCTGGTTAGGGCACATTCTCCGTCTTCCACCGCAGGATTTGACGCATATTTCGTTATTTGCTAAATCGTGTGATAGTTGGCGTTAAAAGTGAGGTGGGACAATCAGGACCTGGACTGATACGGTGAGAAAAGATTTTTAATGTATAGGTGGACCAGTAATATATGACTTAGACGATGGAAAAAGGAATGGCTTCCATTACTGTCGACGATGGCATAAGACCGCGCTGCTTGGAAGCGTCTTATCTTTGTAGTCGTTGGAGTCAGCCTAACCAGTAATGGTGAGAGCTGTTAGAAGTAGAAGAAGAAAGTGGTATTAAGTTAATAAGATATATTTTATATAATTAATAAGACAATAAGATTAAATTAATAATAAATTAATTACTAATAATAAATTATAATTAATAATAAATTATTAAAAATTGAAAAGAAGAAATTTGTTTACTTATTTTAAATATCGAAACATAATATAAAAAATATTTAAAATATATTTTAGATTAAAATATATAAAATATATTTAAAATATATTTTAAACTATTAAAATATATTTTAAATTATCGAAAATATTTATGTAAGTTCATTTTAATCATTACATTATTAAAATTATTTATTAATTATTTATAAATTATTGAATATTTAAAATATATTTTAGATTAAGAAAGTTTTCATCGTATTAAATTATTTTTATTACTATTATTTCTATTTTTTATTAACTCTTTAATAATATTTGTTAATATTATGTTTATTATTCATTAAATTATTTATTAATGATTTTTCTAATTTATCTATCTAATTCATTAATCATAAAATTAATTAATGTAATAATTAAATTAATATTAAGAATTTGCCTAATTTTTCTTTAAACAAAAAAAAAAATATTTTAAAAAAACATGGATTTTGTAATTGTCGAGTATAATTTAGGTGAATTTCGACGCATTTCTTCGCTGGTAAACATTCACGAGAAAGTTTGTCGAATAATTTTCCAGTTGGGCAAATCGCTTCCACTGCACCTTTCTTAAAATTAGAAAAAATAATATTTGTAAATTTAAAAATTTTTATCTAAAAAAAATTGCCTAAAATTTCTATTCGATTCGATTAAAAAAAAAACAAAATCGACAATAATAAATGAGAAAATAACTATAAACTATAAAAAAAATTTGTTCCAAGTGATTCATTCAAGGAAAATATTCAAATTTCATAATTTTTTCTAAAAAAGAAAAAAAAATTTCCCAAAATTCGAAAAAATTTTTTTAGCAAAGATTTGATGATTTACCTTTTCATGGCAAAAAATAAAATTCTCTAAGCAAAATCCGATCGGAATTTTATCATATTTCTCTCTCGTTTTGCACAAATCTGATGCGTTCAAAAAATCCACTTTTTCTTCCATTTTCTCCAAAAATTTTTTTTCAAAATAACAATTAAATAAAAAAAATAAAGAAATAAAATTTCATTCGATCATAAAAAATGAAAAATTACTATTGTGCGCTTCACTCTTTTAAGTGCTTTACTTGTTGTTGACGCCATAATTTCAGCTAAAATGATAAAATGATAAGAAATATCAATAAAAATAATAAAATTACATCAATAAAATTACAAAGTTATAAAGTTAAATAAGTAAGTGAATGATATCTTCCTTAGAATAATTCCTCTTTTTGCTAGAAAATTAATCACTTAGTCAATTAATTATCTGGGTTATCAGTAATACTCAAATTATTCCACCTGGTGAGGAGGTGGTTCTTGCAAAATGATAATTCGAGCCATAAATCCACTCAATTATCTTGCTACCAAAAAAAAAACTCCATCAAAAATTCACTTAGAAATGCTTCGCCAATTTTATGATTATCTACATGCATCTTCTCAAATAGTTCTCTGATAAAAAAAAGCCTTATCACCCTACCAGTCACAAATCTGAAATGGTACCATTAGAAAAGGAATGAGGAAAAGAAATATTTTAAAAAGGTAAAAAAAATCCAAATAAATTTCACTACATTTCGAATAAGAAATCTGTTTTTTTCGTTCATTTTGATATAAATCATCAAGAAATGCCCAAATAAATTCTGTTAATATGCTTATAAATCTCGACTGAATCGATTTCTTGGAATTTTCATTCAAATTTATTATCCGATGAAAAATCGACGTTGCTTGTCGTTCTGTTTCCAGCAAATTTGGCTTAAATTTGCCTGAATCGCTCATTGGCCCATTAGATTCTGCTCTATAAATTAAACGTACTGTAATCCACGAACTATAGCAGAAAATTATTTTGAAGAAATAAAATTAAGTTAAATAGATATATATTTTTATATGTAAATATATATATATATATATATATATAGACGAAGAAAAAACGTACTCAGGAAGTGAACGGCGGCGAACAGTTTTAGATGTGGTACTAATGTAACTGGTAATAAACGCAGATCGCGAAGAGACATATTGAGGAAGCGTACTGTGGCCAACAGTATCAGACGTACTACGAGTAAGAAAAGGATTAGGTGTAGATGAAGTAAAATCATAATCAGAAAGCTCACTGGCGTCAGCAGCTTTCGATGTACTACGACTAAAAAAAGGATTTGGTGTAGACGAAGAAAAGCCATATTCAGGAAACTCACTGCCGTCAGTAACTTTAAATGTACTATGAACAAGAGAAGGATTTGGTGTAGACGAAGAAAAGCCATATTCAGGAAACTCACTGCCGTCAGTAACTTTAAATGTACTATGAACAAGAGAAGGATTAGGTGTAGACGAAGAAAAACCATATTCAGGAAACTCACTGGCGTCAGTAGCTTTAGGAGCAAAAAAAGGATTAGGTTTAGATGAAGATAAAGTAAAGTCATAATCAGGAAGGTTACTGGCGTCAGCAGCTTTTGATGTACTACGACTAAGAAAAGGATTGGATATAGATGAAATAAAGTCATAATCAGGAAGCTCACTGGCGTCAGTAGCTTTAAGTATACTAGGAGTAAAAGAAGGATTAGGTGTAGGTGAAGAAAAGCCATATTCAGGAAACTCACTAGGTACAACATGTTTAGATGTGGTACGATCATGACTGGTAATGAATGCAGGCCGAGAATAGACATACTTAGGGAGCTGAATATTATGGCCAATAGTATCAGATACACTACGAATAAGAAAAGGATTAAATGTAGATGAAGTAAAGTCATAATCAAGAAGGTCACTGGCGTCAGCATCTTTCGATGTACTATGAACAAGAGAAGGATAAGGTGTAGACGAAGAAAACTCATAGTCAGGAAGGTCACTGGCGTCAATAGCTTTAGGCATACTAGGAATGAAAGAAGGATAAAGTGTAGATGAAGTTAAGTCATAATCAGGAAGGTCACTGGTGCCAGTAGCTTTAGGCATTCTAGGAGTGAAAGAAGGATTGGGTTTAGATGAAGATAAAGTAAAGTCATAATCATGAAGCTCACTGGCGTCAGCAGCTTTCGATGTACTACGACTAAGAAAAGGATTAGGTGTAGATGAAGAAAAGTCATACTTAGGAAGCGTACTGTGGCCAACAGTAGTTTTAGATGTACTACGAATATTAATATGATTTGGTTTATCCTGCAAAAATACCTAAATAAAAATTCGAAAAATAGCAATAATTTAATTCCTTCAAATTCCTTTTTACTTTTCATAGCCTAAATTTCTTGTTGATCAAAAACTAAAAAACTGAACAAGAAAAAAAAAGCGGAATGAATTTACCTGATTATGATCAAATTTATGGTTAACGTAAGGGGGTCCACCATAACCATCTTTGACCATTAATTGTTCACCTAATTCTATATTAATTAATTTATTTCGAATAAATCGAGGAACCATTGAAAATAATGCAAATTTCATTAGAAAATTAAAAAATATTTACCATAATTTTCTATATTCCAATGTGGTGAATATTCTCCAGGTTGGAAGCCATCTAAAATAAAGGCATTTTCAGGTGCAGCATTGATGAAATTACTTCCAACTGGCGCTATATTATTGTCGTGAACTTGAAAGTCGTCTTTTACATACTAAAAATTTCAAAATCATTATGTATATATATATTTTATATATTTTTATATTTTTAACCATTATATTATATATATATATTTTTTTTATATTTTTAGTTATATATTTTTAATAATTTAAAATATCAATTTGGAAATATCCGTGGTTCTTTGGCACCGAATTTTTTTTGGTACCAAATGCTTCTTTATTAAATGATAATTTAAGGAAAAATGACAAGTGAAAAAGATTATAAAAACGATTTAGCGTTGACGATTTGGTCTTTTGCTGGTTAATTGGATGCAAAATAGATCGCGAAGAAAGTGATAGACTAAGTGATAAAAGTCATAGATGAGTAAAAATTTAGAAACATTTCGTGGTTTGATAAGCTATCAAATAATTTCCATCGACGGAATTCATTCATTGTCGTATTAGTTGCCGTCGATCCAATGTCATATATTCATACATCTTCAAAATATTATTATGTTAATGAAAAAATTCTTACTTCATCAATCGACGACGATTGTTGACAGTCTTGATTGCTGATAATCGGCATGCATTGTAGGAATATCGGATGAAATCGGTAAGGCTACAAAAAATATTTATTATGAAAATTGATATGAGTGCATTTTTATTTTATATTTATCATATCATATATATTATATATTTTAATAAAAATAAAAAATATAAATTGATAAATATAATAAATTGATAAATAATTAGTATAAATAGTATTCATAAAAATTTTTTAATATCTTCGAATATAATAACAATATTAATATTAATAATATTATTAATAATAATAAATATGTTGCTTTTTAAAAATAATCCTTAAAAAATCGAAAAAATTTTATAGAAATTTTTCAGACATACTTTAATGCATTCTTTCATGATAAGATATTTCTCATCATAAACTTCGTAATAATATGGTTCACATTTTCCAACAGCAAAACGCTTATTCGTAACACATCCTTTTGATTTTTGTGGCGTAATAATTTGCGTAAAAGGTTTAGAAAGACGACCACTTTGCTTCATAATTTTATTATATGCTGTAGTAAGCCAAATACTTGATGAATTTAACTGAATGCTCGGCCTAGTGCTAAGCTCAGATCTATTCGATGTGGTAACGTACGATTTTGACTTTGACTTTATAACTTCAGCACAAGGCAAAACTGTGAATATAGAAAATGGAATAGAGGATGTAGGAAGCTGAGTAGAGGATGTAGGAAGCTGAGTAGAGGAAGTAGGAAACTGAATGGAAGTAGTTAGTTGAGTTGATAACTGAAAAAAAAAATTTCATACAAATTACAAATCTCTTTTCTATAATTAAATCTGAACAATTCATAATTATAATAAGTAAAAAAAAAGGGACCTCTTGGATCGCCTGTTCGCATTCTAATCGTTCAACACAAATCTTGCCATTGAACACTCTTCCACATGGACATTCTACAATACGACCTTCCTAAAAAAATTTCTTAACCAATGTCAATCATTTATGATAATGAATTCATAAATGAAAAACTACAAACGATGTATATTTTTCATATTCATTTAAATTTTTTAATAAATAAATATTAATAAATTTAAAACTATAAAGTAGTATTTTTTTAAAACGATTATCAATTTGATATATTACTAAATACTGATAATACTGATAAGAAAATATGATTAGCTAGATATGTGTATTAATGAAGTCCATTATAATATTTCCATTATTTTCTCTAAATGAATATGTGCTATTTATGGTTCTGTCCTATTTATCGTTCGACTGGAATAATCGACTATTAGAATGAAATCTTAGCAGAATCGGAGAATTATTCTCGAATTCCACTTCTAATGACAGATTTATTCTTATCATTGAAACAAATCTATGATATTTGTTGTTAATCGAAACAACAGATGGATAAATTCAAAAAACTGATAATATGACAATATAATTGATAATATAAAATCAAATTATATTAAATTAAATTATATTCAAATATTATTTCCACATTTTATCAATTCGAGTCCATTCGTTACTATTAGCATTTTTCTAGCAAATTTTTTTCCTTTTAATATCATTTTTTGAAAAATCGAATATATGAAGAGGCTAAATTAAATTATATATTGCTTTTGCTAAGTCAGCTTAGAATCAATTAAACAACCATTTCGATAAGGAAATAATTCAAGGATAGCGATCTTCAACAAACCATTCTTTATTTTTTTTGTTTTATTATATTCATTTTTTATTTTGTTTTATTTTTTATTTTATTTTATTTATTTTATTTTTCTAGAATTGCCAAAAAGATTTATAAGATTTCTAATTTTCTTACAAAATATCTTCTTAAGTAATTTTATAAGATTAAAATAATGAAATTGGAAATTTTTTGAAAAATAAAAAATTTTCAAAAAAAATTTTTCTTTTTTTTCCAAATAACCTCTCCATTGCATATTAAATAAAACTGTGAGCATATCGCGATAGAATATTCACCAGTCGTATGTCCTTTGCAAATCATTTGATAAGAGGACGTATTTGTTTCACTGGAAAAATTGATATTTTATAAAAAGAAAAAAAAAATTTTCAAATTCTAATCATATTACAGCAATAATTTGTTTCTTGTAATTCTTTTCAAAAAAATTTTACGATGTGAATTTTAAATTTTCTGCTTGAAAAATCGTTGATTTATTTCTACAACCAATATTATTTTCCGGATGATCGCAATAACCAGTAATTTCGTTAAAAACAAGAGATTCTGAGCAACGTCGAGGCAATTTCATAGAATTCTAAATAATTCAATGCTTTATTGATAATAAATTTCAAAAAAAAAAAAAGATTCTAAGTAGGCTACATATTAAATCTGAAAATAAAGTGGTACTAGACTTAAATTCACTCAAAATTTAAAGGTTTTACTAACGATGCAAGCGAAATATGTTTCCATGCATGGACCATTTTCGTAAAGACCATCTATCTTTTCCATGCAATCCAAATTTCTATTTTTATCACTAAAAAATTATAGAAAAAAATTTAATAAATGAAATTTCTTGGAATCTCAGACAAAGGCAAATTTTAGCAAAAGTAACTTTGATTTTGCTATTGAGCCGAATTTCTAAAAATGATAATTTAGCGACGCTTACCTTATCACTTGAGAAAAAATTTTATCATCGATAAAATCATCACATCCTTTTATATTCGATGGATAATCGCAAGTTACCATTTCATTATTGAACATTAAACCATCGGGGCATTTAAAGGCAATAGCTTTTCCTCGAGCACAAATTATATAATTTCTCGAACAATTTGAGGCGATCAAGCCATTAAAGGTGTTACATATTGCATCTAAATTTATATACAATAATAGTTGTATGTTATCAGGTTATACTGGCGACTCATCTGTATTTCTATCGCTAAGAGACTCCCTGGCATATTTTATCTAGTTCGCCAAAGCCAGCAGAGCTAGCCTAACCAGTAAAGGTGATAGTTCTTTAAAAAAGCCCAGTAGTATATTGACTTTGGCCTGTAATAGTCAATGTTGCTCAAATGTATAAACTTGAATAAACTTGTCATAAAAAATGATCGATACTAGGCTACTAGGTAAACCTATGAGAGTACAATAGCACGGTGGATCGTTAAACTCGAAGCGCTAATATTGCAGTTCTACTCCTCGCAGGTAGTAAACCTATCCAAAAATCAAGGTTATACTAGCAATTCACCTATACTTCTATCGCCAAGCGACTGCATATTTGCCTGGCTAATACCAGCGACAACTCAATGGAGCGAGTCTAACCAGTAATTGTGAATAATGGCTCTTAAAGAAAAAAAAATCTAGGGTAAAAATTTACTTCACAATCTATTATTCTCGTTATCATAACAAAATTCTCGTTATCATAACTAAGTTTCAAAAGAAAATTATATAAAAAAAAAGAAAAAATATAAAAATAACCTTTTTCTAATCGCAATTGATTTGTTTGATTATCACCATTATCATTATTATTATGAATATTATCACTATTATGACATGTACGTTCATTTTTTCGTTCATCACAACTTTTCGTTTTATGATTAAATATTAAATTCGGTGAACATCTCATCGCATATGCATTACCAAATAAACAAGCAATATATTCGGGTGAACAATTTTTTAAAAAATAATAACCATTCGATTTTTCGGCACAAAAATTTATTTGTTCACTAAATTTTGGCCAACGATAATTTATCATTTGTTGCATATCAGTGGATTTCTTCTTCTTCGATTCGATTTCTAACCATAACATTGTACAATTTAATTTTGATATTTTTAGATGATCATTCGCATACGGTTGATTCGTTGTTATAGCTAATCGCCTTCGTCTATCATCGTAATTTGAAACGAACTCTAATGTTGATTTTGGTTTTGTGGTTGAAATTGATAAATATTCTGGACATGTGGATATACTTATTCGTTTTTCACATTTCATTGTTATTTTATTAAAAGCGAAATCATTTTCACATATTAATAAAAATTTTGAGCCTAAAAAATTAAATTTTAATCTTAGTGATAATAGTGATAACAATGATAATAACAGTAAAGATATTCACTATTTAGAGTCAATGAAAATTGATAATGCAGCAAAAAATGAGCAAGCAATATATAAATTTTCTTTTTCCCTTGATATCATTTTATTACCATACCAAAACAGTTGTGGTAGTTAATAGAGATAATTAAAGAAAGCAGAAACGATGAATACTTTCTTGAAAGACATATTCTTTTCCTATAGGGATATGAACTAATTGGTACTAATACTAATTTTATACCAGTGGTACCAATGCTTGAAATAATTTATTATCGCATGAAGAATTTGAAATTTAATTTTTTTTTCAAGAAGAAAATTCTTTCTATAAATCGAAATATGCATTAAAGTACCACAAAAATACGGATAAGCCGCCTACCGTTTAAACAAAGCCAAAACTCCTCATGGCAATCATTTATAGCATGGAGATTAGCTTCGAAATTTGAGCAATTCACTTGCGCATCTTTATTTTTAGGTGAATTAGGTGAATTCGTAGTCAAATTTATTGAAGCAATAGAAGTACTAAAAAAAAAATTACATAAATAAATATAAAAGAAAAAAAAATTGAAAATTTCTTTTTGTTACTTCTTCAATAACAATGAACTGATGAATTTTTAGTAAATTTTCATTAAAAATTTTAAATTTTTTAATTCTTAATCACTTTTATATCATTTATCACTTATCATTTATATCGCCTTTCATTTTGCTAATCTTCGAAATTCCTAAATATATCACTTTTATATCATTTATCATTTATCATTTATATCATTACTTTTCATTTTTGATTTAACTTTTTCCGCTAGCTTATAGGATTAGCTAAAAAATTTTGCTAAGGTTGAATCATTGATCACCTTGTTTCTTATAAGGCAAAAAATTAATTTACGTTTGTCGGAGAATAAAATCTCCGATGTTGGTACTCTGAAATCATAGCTAAAATCCACTCAGCCATCCATTCTATTTCCTCAAAGGCATTTTAGAAAAGAAAATTACTAACTTTGTATTCTTTTCAATATTCTTCTGCTGAACTATGCAATCGAATTCTTCGTTTTTATTGATACATCTATGAAATTTATAGCTGAAAATTTTTCCAAAACCACAAAATTCAATTTTTCCTTCTTCATTCGAACAACTTATGAAATAATTTTGACATTTTTTTAATAAATATTCACCATTAGGTCGTTTATAACAAATTGTTTTAATATGATTTAATAGTAATGCTGAAAAAAATTAAATTTTTTTAAATTAAAATTATATTTATTAGTGAAGATCGATTTAAAAAATTTTTATTATTTTTTATAATTTTTAAAAAAATTATTCAAATTTTTTCTATTTTTCATTTTTTTTATCTTTTTTATCTATTTTATCTATTTTTTATTGAATTATTTTATTAAATTATTGAGAAAAAAATCATACATAATAAATATCATACATAATTGTTTAAAAAATATAAGTTTTTTTCTTTAAAATGACTGAGAAGAAAAATTTTAACCTAAAAAAATTCATACAAATCATATTAATTTATTAAAATTATTAATCATAAATTATAATAAATTAAAAATAATAATAATAATAAAAATAGTAAAAAATAATAAAAAATAATTAGAAAATAAAAAATAACTATTTTGTTCTTTTAATTGAAATTCTTTATGCGTTTGATTCGTCGTTGAAATATTCCTCGATAAAAATTTATCAGTAAAATTCAAAAATTTTGTAAAAATATTTTTATTTCTCTCATCGACAATAATATTATTTTTATTATTCAAAATTGTAGTAAACGATTCGATATTCAATTCGATATTTGATTTTTGTCTTAAAATAAATTCGTAAAATTATTATAATTTTATTTTATTTTAAAAAATTCAATTCAAATGGTTGAATTTTTTTTTAAATTCTTAAAATTGTTTGCCAATCGCAATTCACTATTAATCATAAATTAGATATTAATTAATTAATTAATTAAAAATAATAAAAAATAATAAGAAATTTTTATTTTTATTTTCCTAATTCTTAATTCCTATATGTCATTTTTTTAATAATAATTTGTGCTTACTTACTTACTTAATTAACTGAATTAAAAGTTAGAAATTAGTTAAAGTTGGGGTTAAAGGTCAGAAAAGCTAAATTATTATAAAACAACTAACTTTAAACAAGCATTGACAATATGAGGATAGGTGCATTGTTCAGTGATCGGGTCAAAGATAAGGCCAAAGGGACATTTTTCTTTTTTCATTATTCCCAGCTTACAAACCAAATAATCTCGACTGCAAATCTCGCTCTTAGCATTAAAATTTCCATACGATTTTCCAACGAATAATGATGAATCGTTTTTTCTAAAAAAAAAAATTAATGAGGAAATAGAAGTTTGAGAGAATAAAATAATCTGATTCAAATTCATAGAACTTAATAAAAGGTCCAATAGAAATGACTTAACCTGATTCAAATTCATGGAACTTAATAAAAGGTCCAGTAAAAATGACTAACTTCCTAGAATCGTTTTTATGAAATGGACGAGCAGATGAACATGCTGGAATTTTCTCGATATGATCACACTATAAATAAAATATTATTATAATTATTCTTTTAAAAAATACGTTTAACCTCATTTAGTAATTTGTTCTCTAAATTAGTCTATATCACTTTATCATTTATCATTTTTGATTAAATTCTCATTCATTCAGTTCAGATAAATTTTTCTGCCAGAAAAATTTGGCGATAATAATTATATGTGAATCGTCAACGTTATTAAGGTTTTTTTTTTTAAAGACAAATTTTTTTCTTGCGAGGAAACAATGGTGACATCCGAAATTGGATCACTAAGCAATTCTATGCCCTCAGGGCTTCTTAAAAAATTATAAACAAAATATCACTTGTAAAGAATTTATATCGAAATATAATTCATGCGGACATTGCGATAATGATGCTGAACCATTAATGCAATACCAAAATAATGTTGTACAACCCTTTGAAAAAATTCCATTTCCATTTTTTTTACAATTGAAAATTTCTAAAAATAATTAATTTTTAAAAAATTAAAATCTGAAAAGAATTCAAATAATTAATTAATATGGCATATAAAAATAATAATAATAGCAATGATAACAAATAATAATAAATAATGATAACAAATAATAGTGAATAATAACAAAAAATATTAAATATTGGTAAATAATAAGCAATAATAAATAATAATAAGCAATATAAAATAGCAATGAATAATAACAATAATAAATAGTGGAAATAAATAATAGTAATAATAATGAATGATAATAAATAAGAATAGTCAATAATAATAAATAATAACAATAAGCATTTTGTATTATCACTGATAATATATTAGCAATAGTGAATAGTGTATCAATTCATAAAGCTCGCTTAGATATCTTTCTTGTGATAATATACAATCAGTTCCAATGATTTAGAATGATTTAGAACATAGTGGCCCAGTTAATTATAGTTATATTTGCAAATGGAATTACATTACATGAATAATAACTAATCGGCTTTCGTAATTCTCAAATATCAACTCCCATCGAGTTATCAGTAGATATATCAGTTATCAGATTTTTAAGCTTATTTCCCCAAGGCGTTTAATCATATCACTACTTCACAATATAATATATGTAATAACTTAATAAAACAAGTATATCCATGAATGAATTATTACTGTATTATTTTAATTTTGATAATAATAGAATGAAAATATTATGATAAATAAATCTGATCCAATCCAATTGGCCTACCTTGACACTCCAAAACATTGTCTCTGAAATCGCATTGTAATGTTTGTGGATTGAAAATTAGACCTTCGGCGCATTGATGATACCTTTTTATGCCTTTTTTATAGGAATGATAAAGCGCCGAACACTTCTCGTCCTATAGTTCCACGCTCTTTTATTAAAGGCTAATAGTAAAAAAAAAGAATAGAAATCAACAATAAATATTTTTGATATATAAAATAGAAATTTTGCCAAGAAAACTTACACTATATAAAATATGGTACTCATTAAAGCATGGAAAACTGTGTTGTATTGTTCCATTAACTATATTTTTCAATCTAACAAATCGAAAATCTCCTGAAATAATTGCTAGGATTTGATGAGAATTTGCCAAAACTTTTGTGGCTATTTGTGCACTTCTATTATATAAATCTTTTATTTTAGCTTATATATTTAGGTAAATTTCTGGGCAAAAGTAGTTATCACTATTAATCAGTGAAGTTAAGCGAAGGTAAAAAAAAATTATTATTATTATTGTTAGTAGAAAAGAAGAGGAGAACTAGGATAAGAAATTCATATAATATCAGCTTTTCTTCTTCTAAGAGCTCTCATCATCATAGGTTAGCTTGGCTTCGCTGGCTAGTAAGAGACTATATAAAATATGGTCGTTAGTCCAAGTTGCTCGATCTGATGCGATCGCTGATAGGTAATAGAAGCCATTCCTTTTTCCACCATCTAAGTCCACATATATATAGCTGATCGCCCTCTATGTTCAAAATCTTTCCTCACTGTGTAATCCAGGTCAATCTTGATTGCCTCTCATCGCTTTTGACACCACTCAACACGGATTTTAACGAAATATATATCAATCCAACTTCTCCCAGCCCTATTTGTTCAGTTTTCATTTGACGAGTTTTGATTTTATAAATAATATTTATTTTTTCATATATCATAGGCGAATAATATGCCAAATAATGATCGTTGATTACTTACTGGGAAATAATTGTTTTTGCTGAATATTATTTCCGCAAACTATAATTGTCCATAAAATAGAAAATATAAAGGAAATAAAAAATTTGAAATCCATTTCAAATATTTTATAAATTTTTCCTGAAATTATAAAAACAATATTTTATACATTATACTTCTTTTTAAAAATTACAAAAATCTATTAAAAATTACAATAAAATTCGAATTATTATAATATTATTAATTAATATTTTAATTATTAATATAAATAATAATAATTAATATATTTATATTTACATTTATATATTAATATTTTATTTAAATTTATTTATACTAACATTTAATACTAACATTTATCATTATTTAATTTTTATCATTTTATTTAATATTTATTATTAAAATATTCAATATTTGTTATAAAAATAATAATATCTATTATTATTATTAAAATATTTAATATTATTAAAAAATCCTAAAAAAACGACCGTAAACCATCACCGTATTGTATGAAAAAATTTATGAAATAAGAATACATTAAACAAAAACATGCAAAATTTCATCTTAGCCTTAGGCAAAAGAATGGCTAATCGAAGAAAATTTTTAGGCTAAAAAATTCAACCGAAAATTCAACCATATTCAGATTTTTTAAAACTATAATTTTCGATTTTTTAAATTATTTTTGTAAGAAATAAATATTTTTAAATTTAAATTATATTTATTATATTATATTTATTATATTTTATTACATTTTTGATGTTATAAATTCGCGTTTATTTCAGATTATTTCATTTAAATTGCCCGTTTTTATGAAAAAACTTAGCGGACTGGCGGTAGATAGTACCATTGTGGTTTGACGATTCAAGTTGCAATACTATATAGCCACATTTTTTCAATATTTTTTAGTAGTTTAATAGTAAAATGCTTAATAAAATCTATGCCTATTTCAGGATGCTAACAAAATAATCCGCCAGATGACTATTATAGCTTCTTTTTCTAGCAGCTCGCATCCAGGTAAGACGAGCCATTCCTGAAAATGAAAATAAAAACCAGTCATTTAATCATCTCGTATATCTCTCGTATATATTTGTACTGATATGCGTTGATAATATTTTACACTGAATTATTAAGGAAATTTCAAAAAATTTTTATTAATAGATTATTTTAACAACATATATATAGAAAAATGTTGCAATTGTTTATTCTTTTTAAATAAATAATAAAAAATAAAATGATAAATAATAAATTACAATCATTTAAAAATGTTTTTTTAAAAAATTTCCGAGAATTCATTCAAATAATTTACTACAATAATAAAACCTATAATAATAATAAATATTGTAATAATAATAATATTAATAATGATAATAAATAATAAATAAGTAAAAGAGAAAATAATCACAACACGTCCCTTGCATAAGAAAAAAAGAAAAAATATTCTAAACAATTCCTCTAATTTTTACAAACTTCTACAAATTTTTTTTACAAATTTCATGAAAATTTATTCTCAAATAAATGAGCATATGAGAATGCTGAGCGTACAGTTATAATAATATATAATAATATTAAATATATTAAATATAAATTTAAAAAAATCCCAAAAATAAAATTTATAACATTAAAATGTTAAATAAATAGCCAAAGAAAAAAAGCCTTTGCTCAATTAAAAAAAAAACCACTATCTTACTTATTTAAAATATTATTTAAAAAAAAAAAAAAGAAGGCAAATATTGGAATAATAAATCAAAATGATATGCTTTATAAAAAAAATAAATTTATAAAAAAAAATTATAGAATTTTTAAAATAAAAAAATTTGAAAATGAAGAGAAAATTCTTTTCTTTTTTTTGCCAATATTTATAACACAATTATCGACATTTTAGTTAATTTTACCAATTAAAAATCAATTTTATCAATTAACTGCCAATTTTATCAAATTTTTTTTTCACACTCTCTAACTTAACATACTTAACGCTTTTTTAATTAAAGAATATTAATTTTAAAGGGAAAAAATCAAAAAATGGCTAAATTAAATGAGAAACGAATCGTTATTTATCAAAAGAAGCAAACAGCTTTGGTTTAAACTTATTGAACAAAAATAAATGAAATAAAAAAAAAATAAAAATAAAAATAGAAAAAAAATGAACTAAGAAGAAATAATTCGAACAACAACAGTAATCATTATCACATTCAATAATTTTTTAAATTGCTGTTGTTTTAAAATACAAAATTACAAAATTATCAACAAAATTATTAAATAAATTATTAAATGAATAATAAGAAATGAAAGAAAGAAAAAGTATGAATAATTAAATTATTTAAAAATATTTAATAATAAAAATTTTTTGATAATTTCTTCCATTTCCTACAGCACTATGAATGACACAACTTTAATAATTACTATAAATAAATAGAGCAATTCATTGAATTGTTGCTCTCATTATGGAGTACCAAATATTGGGATACTATTCTCGACAGCAGTTAATCTATCTTCTAAAAATTCGTTTGGTACTAATGACCTATTGCCGATGTATTTCTGCTATTCAAAAATAATTATTTTTAAAAAATCATAGAATCAAGAAAAAAAAAATTTAGAAAACATTCAACTTATCGATATATTAAAAACACTTTAAAAAACCCCTCATCATTGAAAATTCAATACAATTTAACAGATCACTAATAAAACTAGAAAATAATCATCAATTATCAATTATCAAAACCTCAAATCTTATCACGAAATTTCAAATTTCTTATCACATTTTTCGCTCGAAAATCAATCAAGCAATATTATCCTCAAAAAAACTTGAAATAACCAAAAGATGTATAAAAAATTTTAAAAAATTACAATTTATATTAATCACAACAGATATTATGAGTAATGTTACAAGAAGGGAGATCATTTATCGAAAACCACTTATCTATGCTTAATGGAAAATAATAACAATTGTCAGACAAAAAAAAGATAAAAAATTATAAAAGATAAAATAGAAGAGATAAAAAAAAAATTCCTATGAAATTTCTAAACCTTCTAAGTTTTCTACTCTAAAAGTAGCCTCAAAATGATGAGATGAGACGAGAATATTGAATAAAATTTTGAAAAATCATTGATTCAAGTTTCATTAAGTTTTAAAGTTTGCAGTTCATTTTCTGGCGTTTTGATCTGAATTCCATGTAAAACCGACTCACGTTGTTTTTCAGCAGCACCTAAAATTTCTTGCACAAACACACCCATATTGAAACGTCTATCATTTCTGGCTTCTTCCAAAAATGGATGTTCAAGAAGATCGGGATATTTTGGCCTTTGTTTATAATCTTTCGTTAGGCTGTAAAAAAAAAAATCAAAAGATCTGAAAAAAAATTTGAATTTGAAAAAAGATAAAAATTTTTATTAGATCCCTAATAATTTTCGATAAAAATTTTTAAATCGATTTTTTCCTAATTACAAGATTAGATTAATATGATAAGAAATTACCATAGCGATACAAAATCTTGAAAATTATCAGAATAACCTAGATTTCGTGATAATCTAGGAGGTGGCTCATGCACTACTTGTTTAAGTTGTTCAAATGGAGTTTTCCACTTTCCATATGGATGCGATCCAGATGCTATCTCGACCTTAATTTAATGAATTTTACGAAAAAAAAACAATTATTTTACAAAAATAATAATAATGCAAAAGACAACTCAAGAATAAGAAAATTATTGCTTCCGATAATTTATTTACATATTCCATATCATAAAACAAATGCTAATGTTAACTAGTGTTATTCCAAGACTCCAAACATCGGCTCTAACATCATATGCAACTTTCTTTTCTCCTTCGATCCTCTCAGGTGGCATATATGGCTTACATCCTGCATTTACTGTTTTTGCTACCTAGAATTTCCATTTTCAAACAAATATAGAATAAAAAAAGTGCAATAATAAATAATTTAATAGTTGGAATATTCTGCCAAAAGGAAGCGAAAACCAATCTATGAAGAAAATTAAAGTGATCTGTGATTTGCTAAACTCACAGAATTGGTAAGATGCCCTGATATTCCAAAATCACAGATTTTCACAGCACCTTGTTTATTGAGCAATATATTAGACGGCTTTACATCTCTATGAATAAGGTTCATCTGCTCCTTCATAAAGTTTAGACCTTCTATGATCTGAAAAAAACTTGTATATAAAAATAAAAATTCATCTTACAAGATCATCTTATAGAAAATTAGAGAAATTTACAAAAGAAATTCTTTGTTAAACTGGAAATTAATTAAAATTTAGCTTGCCGAAAGAGCTGATTTGGCGATGAACATTTCTGGAAGACGTTTACCCGAGTCAAAACACATTCTATAAAATTTATCTAGAGAAGTATCCATTACTTCCATGCATATCCAAACATCACCTTCACGAAACATGGCACCATAAAATCGAACCATCTGCATTTAATATAACAGATATGATGTTTAGTAAATAAAAATCAAAGTTATTATGCAGAGCTTTTCAAAAAAAGCAAAAATTTGTCTTTTTTTTCCGTTTTTTTCATTTCAATTCTTTGTTTTTCGTTCTAAAGCGATAAAAAAAGATTTTAAAAAAAGATACTTGAGGACAGCAATCACTTTTCATACAAGCTTGCAACTCAACCAACATTCGTTTCTGACTTTCATCATTAATCGAAGAATGTATTCTCTGAAAATAATGTGTCAAAAAGGGATTTAAAAAAATTATGCGTCAAAAGGAGATTTAAAAGAAAAAAATTAGAAAAATAAAATTAACTACCCATAGTTAAAAAACTAAGGAATGAATGAAATGCTATGAAAATTAAGATGGGATTTAAATTCCATGAAGAGATGAGAATTTTATTGAACGTAAATCGGAAAAAAAATATCTGGAAAACTGTGAAATAACTATTCAAAGAATCATTTGCATTAAAATCATTGAGTGGAATTTATAAATCATAAAAAAAAAAAAATAAATGATGAAAATAAATAAACCTTCACTGCCATAATAAAATTAGTCTTCTTGTGTCGCATCTTCTCTACAACACCATAGGCACCTCTGCCTAATTCCTCCAATTTTTCCAAATCGCATGCATTAACTTCAATTTCATCACTTTGTTCGAAAAGCCTAAATATTTAATATTTTAAAGTCATTTTGTGATCATTTTAGATGATCCTTTCACCAAATAATCTTTTTGGAATAGAAATGCAGTTGAAATATATGGTAGAACATAATTTTATTTCCAAATGTTAAATTAAATAATTAAAGTTTGATCAATTAGCCTGGCTTCATATTTATAAAACTAGTATATTTAGTCTAGTACCATACGATGTATAAAGCACGTGCCAATAATAATAATAATAGTATCATATAATATTTTATTATATGATTAAGATTATAAGAAATATGAATAAATATGAATTTCTTTTTCAATGAATTTTTTTTCGAATTCATATAATTTCAATAATATTTGAAAAAAAAGCCTACTTCATCATGCATTTATCATCAAGATCAAGATCAGGAGGATTTTCTGGTTGTGGCATAGTTAGCCGTACCAGTTTAGACTTGCCTAAAATTATTCAATAAATTTTTTAGATTGGTACTATTCATTTTAGTAAAAATCCCAAAATATTTGCCGAATATAATTCTTTCTTATATTATTTATTATCAAATTAAAGAAGTAAATTATCGAAAAATTGAAAAATTAATCGTACTAACCTTATTTTAAATTAATAAATTTTTTCAAAAGAAATAAGTGAGTATGAAATTTTTTCTTTTAAAAATCTTTAAAAAATAAAGATTTTCATTTCTAATCGATTAATTAAATCAAATAGCTAAACTTATAGTTATGGTTTTTTTTTCAATATTATAGTTAGTTAATGCTTAATAAAGAAAATAATTATGTATTTGAGAAACTTATAGTTAAAATTTTGAGTTAGTATACTCAATAAAAATATAATTTGAATTAGAAGAGAATATATTATATATTTGAACAGCTTATAATCAAGCGGTGTTTGAAAAAATAATGAACAACCATGAAAATAACATAAAAACAAGATAAAAAAACGATAATATTGCAATAAACCTCTTAGTTATCAGTAAATCAGTATTTAATGCGAATTAATTATAATTGTAATAATTATAATTATAATAAACTCATTTCAATACGATTTATTTTGGTACTATTCACTTTAGCAAAAAATCCTAAAAACCGAATTACCGAACATGTTAGTATTTAATATTTATATTGTTAATTATAATAAATTAATTATAAAATAAAAAAATTAAAAAATTCTTCACTAATTTTTCTTCCATTTATCTTTTTTTTATTTAGTAAAATTAGAAAAATATAAAAATTTTAAAATTAAAACGCCAAACCCGTAAGGCGAGAATTCATTCCAAAATCCAAAAAAAAAAACTCTTCCAATATAAATAATTACTAATAAGCAGAATCCAACTGAAATTATATAATAAAAATTTTTTTTGATACGATCTAATATTTAAAAAATTTTAGCGAAAAAGAAAGAAAAAAGAATATGTAAAACCAAAAAAAGTTATAAAAAGAGAAGGGAAAAAGAGGAAAAAGGAAAAAGGGAAAAGAGAAAACGAAAAAAATATTAAAAATATAATTTTTAATAAAGCAAAACAAAACAAAATCAAACAAAATGATGGAAAAAAACAAAGTTGAAAAAACTAAATATTCATGCTCAATAAAATAATATAAATCATTAAATAATTATTATCATTAAAATTAAATTTATTATTTATTAAAATTCATAAATTATTAAACGATATTTTATAATTTCAAATAGTAAATTAATAATTAAAAATTAAATCAAATTAGATCAATTTAATGCCACAAAATTACTCAACAAATTGAGAAATTATTTAAATAATTTCCCGATGTCAATCTTTAACAATAATTCAACAAAAGAATGGCGCAACATTTTTTTGCTCTCATTTCAGAGTAACAATGCTCGGATTCTCCACCCGCAGAAATAAATTTGCCTTTCAAAAAGCTTGGTGACCTTCTATTACCAAGTGATTTCCGGGTAAAATTTATCTGGCTTGACAAGCAAGAGGAGTGAGCTAAACTTGAAATGGAGAGCGCTTTTAGAAAAAGAATTGATAATGTCAAATTCATTTCTAAAATTATCCAAATATTTTATCATTGCAAAATTTAATAATTTTAATTTAATTTAAATTTAATAACTTCAATTTAATTTTAAATTAAAATCATCAAAATCAAAATAATAAAAAGTTTTCTTTGCTTATAATTCTATTAATTTTTTTAATTACTAAAAAATTAATCAAATTTTAATTAAATTAACTTAAACAAAAAAAAAAATCCAAAAATAATTATTAAAAATAATTTAAAATCAATAATACATAATTTATACTCGCAATTTAATAATTTTGATAATTTTTTCCTTAAACACTTAGAATTTAAGAAACAAATGATTAACAACATTCATTCATTTGCTTTCTTACAAAGCATACATTAGACGTTTAGACGTTTAAAAAGGTGAAAAAAAAAAAAATTTATTAGAGAATCATTTGCAATTCGAATAGAATTCACCAGGTACCATTCGATTTTAATGGACGCTTTTGCCAGAGAGAGAGAGAGAGAAGCGATAAGCTAGTATGCTTGAGATGACCATTTAAGCCGACAAGCACTCGGTTATTGTGTCCTCGGTTATTTATAGAAAATTCAACTTTTTGAATAAATTAAAGGAGTTTTTTAATATAAAACGATTGTTTAATTTAATTTTAGAATTTAATACTACAAACAATTTATGCTTAAAAAAAAAAAGAAAACATTAACAACAATCCCCTATGAGAATATTCTCTCTTTTATTTAGAGAAAAATTCAACCGACTAATTAAAAGTTACCGTAAGATGAAACTCGTTTTAAGACCGAACTTCTTAAAAAGTCATTTCTTTTTTGTTCTATCTTCATCAGTTTCTGGTTTACCTAAATTTATTTTTTATTATTGTGAAAGTCTTTTTCGAGCTTTGCTATCCGACACTATAATTGAACTTAGAATTAGCTTTAAGCACCAATTTTCTTGATGAAATGTAATTAAAACTAAACTACCGTTCCGTTCACTAAGTTCTTTTAAATTAGTTAATTTAGGGAATTGAAAAGAATTGATTTAAAGAAATCCACATTTCTCAATTTTCTTGCAATCTTATCAATTTTGTTCAATTAAAAAAATATTGGTTAAATTTCAACGTTTTCAAATGGATGAGTCTCAAAGCGAATTTCTGCTTTCCTTGAGATAATTTTAAAATATTTTCGCAAAATTTTCTTTATTTGGGCATCGATTTTTTTTCTAACAATGGTGCCTAAAACTTTTATTCGGTGCAAAAATTTTTTTTTTTCTAGCAGTGGTGCCTAAAATTTTTATTTGGTGTAGAAGTATTTTTTTTTCTGGCGGTGGTACCTAAAATTTTTATTTGGTGCAAAAGTATTTTTTTTTCTAGCGGTGGTACCTAAAATTTTTCGGTGCAAAAATTATTAAATCGTTTTTTTGTTATTTTTTTAAAAAAGTTTAATTTTAAAAAATTTCGAAAGATTTTAAGGCATTTGTATATTTAAAGAAAAATAATTTTATATAAAAATAATTATTTTAAAAAATAATTTGAAATAAAAGTAATTTTTCTTAGTTTTCCATAAAAATTTTCTAAACTTTTGTATTTGTATTTGTGTTTCGTACCAAAAATTATTAAAGCTTATATTAGGCGAATTTACTTAAATAAATTTCTAATAAAAGAAAAATTTACCGAAATAACTGATATTTCCTAATTTTTTTTTAATTTTCGAAGGTACCAATCAGCGATATCGAAAACCAATAGAAGAAAACCAGTAGAAATAGAATTCAATGAAAAGAAATTGAAAGAAAATTTTAAAACTTTTGAAAGAAGAAATGTTCAATGTTAAATTTTTTAAGTTAACTAACTCTTTAAATTCTAAATTTTTTTATTTTTCTTTGCTTTTTAAAAATTTTTCATTGATTTTATTAAATTTTTTTTGTTAAGGAAAGAATTAATTTTGCAATTGTTTAAAACTATTCATAATTTCTTATCGTTGAATTTTTTATTTTTAGATAATTTAGATTTTTTTCAACTCGGTGGAATATTTATTTATTTAATTATTTATTCACTTAGTTACGATGAAATTATGGAAAAGTATTTATATTTATACGTTTTATTTCGGTTTCGCTTTATTATTTTTACTTATCTCATGGCAACTTTTTGTAACTCTTCCTGACTTGTTCGTTTCTTTTTTTTCTCTCTTCATCTTTTTTAAATTATTTAAATTATTTTATTTTAAATTTATTGGCAAAGAATTATGAAATTGTAGAAATTAATGTGGACAAATTAATGTGTAGAAATTATTAGAATAAGATAAATGGTAAATTTGATAAAAAATATTGGTTGGGTTAATTGATAATAAAATGTAGGAATATTCAGTAAAAGTTTATAGAAAGCAATACTTTATTTAAAAAAGTTAGCAGATTGTCGAAAAAAAAAATAAAAGCAGATTGTCAAAAAGAAATTTTTTTTTGAGTCTATTAGATTATATTAGAAAAATTTTAGAGATTCTTTTTTTAATGTTAGTGTATTAGAAGAATTTAATATTTAATATTCATCAAAATAATGCAAGTAAAGTATTTTTTCGACTGAATTTGAATTTGTTTAAATGAAAAAATAAGAATTGTATTAAAATGCAGAATTAATAAGTTGATTAAATTAAATTCACTTAATATAAATTTATTAGAATGTTGAAAATTAGTTTCAGGTAGTCTTTCAAATAATTAGAATAATTATTTTTTTAAATTAGATTTAATATTTTATTTCTTAATAAATTTAATAAATTTGATAATTTAATAGATTATATTTATTGCAGTGAATATTCGAAATTTCCAAAATCCTTAAACGATACGAAACAATTGGGTAGTGTTTTGCTGAAATACAAAGAAAAACATTATTATGATGTTCTTCTACGAATTTCTACTATATATATATTGTAAACTTCATTTATTTTCCTATTTATGATTTTTATAAAATTGATATATTAAGATTGAAATTTTTTTTAAGTGCTGAAATGATTTGGTACATTCTTCATTGATATCCATGACATTTCGAATACCCTTAAAATAATCCTTTTTTGCCAGTTTAGATGAAATAGTAGTAGTAATAAAGAAAGTGAAAAGCTGCTAGTTTTCTTTACTCTGCAAATTACTTTATCAATATGTTTCTAATAAAATCATGTAGCGGAAATACATGAAGTAATAATGATCTAAAATTTTAGGCATTTATTTCGGTTGTTTCAATAGCTTACTCTATAATGTAAATATTTTGTCGACTACCTGTTTATAGCATTTTTTTCAGAATTTCTATTGTTTTTCCTTTTTTTCTATTGGGAATGGCAATTTTTTAAAAATCTCTGATTTTATTATCAATTTATATTTTTTATTTTAGATTACAATCTTTTGCTATACCCGGTTCAGTATTTTTTACTATGCTGTCTGGTTATCTATTTAATGTACCGATAGCTTTATCTTTGGTCTGCACGGTTGAATTTGAAATTTGAATTTGAATTTTTTTGAATTTTTAAAACTTTTTTTTCTAATCAGCAGATTTCAATTAATTGATTCGCTGTTATTGACTGATAATAAAGACAAAAAAAAAAATAGTTATCTTGTATCCATATTAATGTTTTTCAGTGTTCTGCATGTGGCGCAACAATTTGTTACTGTATTTCAAATTGTCTTGGTCGTCATCTTATTTTAAAATGGTTTCCAGGATATGTGAAAAAATATCAAGATTATGTAAGATATTCATTATCATATTTTAAAAAAATTTGCAAATTTTATAAATTTTATCAGTCTTATTTTGCAAATTTATAAATTTTATAAATCTTATCAGTTTTAATTTTTTTTATTGCTAATCTCTATTTATTTTTACGTTATCTTTATAATTTTATAAAGATATTATATTTTTACAAAAATATTTCATAATTTTAGATTGCTTCTTGTGGCGACAACTTGTTTTTTTATTTAGTTTTTCTTCGAATAACACCTTTTTTACCAAATTGGTTCATCAATGTTGCTTCACCGATTGTAGGAGTCCCTCTACGATCGTTTTTTATTGCTACGCTAATTGGTTATTCATTTCCTCTATTTATGTTCTTTATAGTTTTTTTAATTTTTATACTCATTTTCGTCGTTTTCGTTATTAAAATCTACTTCTTGCTTTTTTGTTTTATTTACTTTTACTATAGTAACATAGATATTCAAATATAGATAATATGTACTATAGATTTTAAATTTTAGGCGTGGCACCGCCATCAATAGTCATAATTTCTGCAGGCACAGCTTTACAAGCACTGACCAGTGTGACTGCGGCATGGTCCTGGAAATCAGTTGTGATGGTCATTTTATGTGCACTTTTTTCTTTGGCACCTATTGGTTATCAAAAATTCAAATCAATGGAAAAGCAAAAAATAATCTAATCCGCTTTTCTTCTAACAGCATAAATTTCTGATTTTGCTAGTTCCTCTGAGAAGTCCGTATGGCTTCTACGTAGTTCATTCTGCAGCAGTCATTCGAATCCCGGTCATTTCAGTGGATTATTCTTAAAAGATTTTTCAGAATTGTATAAGTTAATTCGTTTAGTAATTTATTTAATCTTTTAATCCTTGCTTTAAACTATTATTTTGTTCATTACATATTTAATTTATTTGTTAGCAAAATATACCATTTTATACAAAAATGAGAAAACGCCAATATTGATAATTTAAAGCTTATGGCAAATAGGCTCAGGGAGAGGATTGTAAAAGAAAAACAAAACTCAAATTACTAAATAACTAACATTTTTATATAGTTTATATGTAATTCCAATTTTTGTACAAAAAATTATCAGAATAATATGCTTATATACAAAAAAAAAATATTCGAAGATTTCATCATTATAGAAGATAAAGTTAAAGTCTGAAATTTATGAAACACTCGTAACGTTGAGATACAGCACAAATATTGATAGCACAAAAGCAGTAATTAATTTATTGATAAGTAGAGAATTTTGATTTAGGCCAACTCTAATGGCTACTACGATAAGGTATTATCGATAAAGGATCATATGGATCTTTAGCATCAATCACCACCTCCTAAGTTAATAAGTGATTTATTATCACTACTAGAGGCAGAGATCGAACCGTAATGAACCATGAAATGGTAATCTAAACAATAACCACTTGAACACGTTATCGATAACATAAATATGTATGTACAATTTAAAATATATATAAATGCAACAATCAAAACAAATTAACCGATAATACCTGATTAATAATAACTGATAATCTACTGATAATAGCTAAATGGAAAGGCATTCAAATTTTCGACATTTGAATCTGATTTCGAAACTAAAATTTTTCAAGCGATATTTTGAGACTCTTTTAATTTAAATAAAAAATGAATGGCTAATAAGCAGATTGGTTTCTTATGTTTTATCATCTAACGAATAAATAAAACTAAACAAATCGCATTGATAGGCAATGATGTTCAAATTTATGACTCACTAGGTTCATATGGACCTTTCCAAAATTAATAATATTATTATTTATTATTAATAATATTGGACCCCTCAATATGGTTCATTATTGAGGGGTCCAATTTGGTTTGCGGTGCTACATTATCCCATTATCCTGGATGACGAAACCATAGAAACCGTTAAATATAAAGCAAAATTTGGCAAAAAAAATAATATAAAATAAAACAAATATATAAATATATAACAAATATATGTTATGTTTTTTAAACGATTAAGCAATATATTGAATTATGCAAATTATAAGAATAAATAAATGAAGAAAAAAAAACAAAAAATAAAAAAACAATCTAAAAAACAAAAAATAATAAAAAAATGGCCCCCAGGCGATGAATTACCAAAAGCATGAATTTTTTTATAAGGGCATTAAATATTTCTAATTGGGCTTAATTCGGTTTTTTTTTCTCGGCCTTTTTTTAAAGTTTTTTTCCTGGTGAATGTTTGCTGAAGTATAAGTGAATCAAGCCAGCAAATTTTTTGAATGACTGCTTCATTTCTACTGTGGTTATTAGTATCTTCATTAACCCCCTCGAGGCTCCTCAAAATAATGGCAAAAACAAATTATCATTGAATCATTCTATCTAATTAGTAGTTGAAAAAAGACCGTTATCAGTCATTTATCAGTTGAAAAGTGAATAGAGCGAGATCGAAATTTTAAAAAAAAATTATGGTACTATAAATATAGGAAACAATCATTATAGTTTAATATACAGCATAATTATTCGCATATTAAATAGCGCAGTACTAAACTAAATCACCTCATTTATGGCATTTTGGTTAAATGAGCCAATTATCATCGCTTTTGCTTAGCGGATAGCGGACAATGGTATGGATGATTTGTCATGATATCTATTAATGGCTAGAAAATGATATGATAAAGAATATTTGTCCGCGAATCACTTGGCGATAATTATAAGCTAGTGGAAAGATGCAAACTTCTAACTTCTTTACGATGATTTAAACTCATGGATATTAGTTTAATCAATTTTCATGATTATTTTCATGCTCAATAGAAAATTATCAAGTGAAAAATGAAATTTATTCCGCTTAACTAATACATCCTGTAGTGCCTATTGTTTGTCTTAACTGGCCGTATATAATGGAATAAATTTTTTGGCTTCTGCTAGGCTGAGATTAAAACAATCTGAGTGTGAATGAACAAATTAAAAAAGTCAAAAGTTTTTTAAAAAACAATTGTAATTGCAAAATTTCATTTATTATAATAAATTAATTTTTGCAAAAAAATATTTCACCTTTGACCTTTCCTAAAATTAATAATATTATTATTTATTATTAATAATATTATTATTTATTATTTATAATATTTGTCCTTTTTTTTTCTCGTTTTATTATAAAAAATACTCAACTCGTTGCGTTGTCTATTTTTTGATTTTCATTACCCGTGACAACCAATTTCGTCGATTCAATCTTCTTCTTCATAAAAATCTTCATCAATATACCTTGAAAATAATTTTTATTTATCTAAATTATAAAAGATTTATTATGTTTAAAAAAAATTCCAAAATAGCAAAAATTTATTAAAATTTTTGTTAAAATTTATTTTTAATAAATTAAATTTATAAATTAAAATATTTAAAATAAATTTATTTTTGTTATATAATAGCTAATTTATAATTGCTTTTATCAAAATATTAAAATAATACTAAAGATTAAAATATTAAATAATATTAAATATTATATAATATTTAATATCGATGGCTAAATGACAATAAAATTACCACTGAGGCTTGGGCCTGAATACGTCTCGTCAGGTTGCTAACGGAGAAAGCAAAGGAGAATAGGATGATTCAGTGGGTTATTGCTTAACTAGGAGCGTTCACGTACTATTCCAGATAGGAGTAAATTTGTCCAAAAATCTACGTGACTATGCTAGCGAGCGACTTACTTGTATTTCTATCGCTAAGGAACGACTCCCTAGCATATTTGTTTAAATCCGACAAATCAGCCAGCGGAGCGAGTCTAACGAGTAATGGCAAATGCTCTTTAAAAAGAATATATAATATTAAAAAAATAAATATTAAAATAATAAATATTATATATTAAAATAATAAAATATTAAATATGTTAAAATAATAAATATTGAAATATTAAATATTAAAATGTTAAATATTAAAATTTTAAACATTAAAACATTAAATATTGAATATATTAAATATTACCTGAAATTTTCAATAGCATTATAATACGAAAAATTATAATGAATTTTACAATTCGGTGATAAGCCACAAATTCGAAGTGCATTTAAAAATATTTGAAAATTTACAACTGTAAAACCAATCAAAAACGACTGATCATTACATTCAAATATAACGTTATTTAATTCTGAATGTTCATTATTTCTGAAAATAAAAAATAAAAATAAAATAAAAAAAAAAAGAAGGAAATAATTTTAAATATTTTATTTATATTAATTATTATGAATATTTTTTAATAATAATTCATAAATTAAATTTTAATTTTTTTAGATTAAATAATTTTTAAATTTTAAATTAATTAATTTTCTTAAATTAAATTCATTAAATTGATAATTAAAAATAAATATTTTATAGAAATTTTTAATAAAGAAATAAATAATTTTATTTCCAGTTTATTTCTTAATAATATCGATTTTGTTTTCTTTTTTTTTTAAAATAAAAATTACAGAAAAATTTATAAATTATAAAAATCACCTGTAAATATTCGATGCCCACCAAATACTATTTTTCGTTAATCCCCATTTACGATATAAATTTGACGAAGAAGAATTCGCTTTTGTCGTTGATTCACAATAATATAATGTAATAATATTTTTTAATCGAATACATTTCGAACTTCTTATCTAAAATTTGTATGTTTAAATATCTAAAATTAACATCTAAAATTAACTTTAATATTTAAATATTTATTTTCATTTTCCTAAGAGTATTCCTTATCACTTTTCGCTAAATTCACTCCACTGATTTGTCGAATTTCGATGATAAATTTTACGAGTGAGTTTACTTTTTGTAATAGAAATGCAAAAGAGTTGCCCACTAGCAAATTGGACTTTTGAAAGATTCCTGCTGGGAATAGAAACTTGCCAACCGCTTTTTGAAATTAGGCTAACAACGCACTGAGCCATTTTTTATCCCCTTGTATTGCAGTTAATAGTAGTCAATTTAAATTTTTAAGTGCTTTTTTTTAAAAAACTATAATTATTTTCCTTTTTATTTTTTTTTCGAAATTTCCTTAGTTATTTCCTTATTATTATTACAACATTACTTTTATTATTATTATTATTGCTTTTATTATTATTGTATTATTATTATTCATTGCATTAAACTACAAGTAATAAAATAGCTATATTTATTTAATTTAAAATAAGTTATCAATACCAAAAAAAATTAATAAATAAAATTTATATTTATTATATATATATTAAATTAAATTAATTGTAATAAATTATAGTAATTATGATAATTAAAACTAACATCAAAATTGCTATATCTCTCTTCTAAACTGAAACTTGAAAAGTAATATTCGGATATGAAAATTTTTCCAATACGTAAAATCGCACAATAAGGATCTTCATAGATAATTAGTGATAAATTCGGATGAAGAGTTTCTTTTTCGTGAAATGGCTTCACTGATAACATCAAATTTGATTCATTGTCAAGTGAATTTATCGTATAATCAGTGGATAAGGATTCTAAAAAAAAAGAACCATTAAGAAAACACTTCAAAATGTATAAGCTAATCCATTCACTTATCGATTTCTTAAAACATGCAAAACTTTGATAATGTTTAACAAAACTATTCATAATTTATACGATGAGAATCTCAAATTTTTTAGTCGTAAGATTATTATAAATATATCCGAAAAATTCAAAAGAAAAATCATTATGAAGATTAGGTGATATGAAA